AAACATTTCCACTTTTTCACAAAATGTAAGTAATTCTGTTCACTTTTATGGTAAGGTTTAAAAATTGCCCTGCATTTATATCCTATTTTACTATATCTGTTCGATGTAAACATTGACACTCGTGACTCATACATAAGCCCATAGTAAGCAATTAAAGCTAATAGGCACATTGATTATACAAAGTTGCACGCAATGCTTACAATGGTAACTGGGCGCACCTTCTGTAGTTAATAAGTACATTACCTTATAGTCAAACGCGTATTAGCTTTGTCCAATATCACTGCCTAATCACTAAGAATGTCTAATTAGACAATCCGTAAGTCTGGTAATTGCGCGCACGCTAAATGGTTGTCAAGCTAAAATAGCCTCGATTCGGTTAGGCAACGTCACATGTTGCTTACGGGTGTTGTAGCAGAGATTGTTTGTCCGGGTATGCTTATATACGACAATGAGCTAATTAGAAATCCTCCATAGCGTTGGCCCCGCCAACACGCGCCTAGCGTCCTTTATCACGAGCGGAATTCCCCGTTCATGACTAATCAGAAGCTATGTTCGATTTATACAGTTACAGGTACGTGCTACTATCGCCTAGACATTGCGTCGGCGAGCAAAATGCATGGCGTGCGTGCGTTTTGCATCGCGTGCGAAAATGTCTGTGGACTATAAATACTGTATCACACCCGTCTCGAAGTATGGACAGTTCGAAACTGTAAACAAGTCAGTCAACTGCATTTCGTTGGACTGCGGATTTTCAATTTGGCCATTTCTTAGTAACCAGCGTGGGATATTGGACAAACTAATACGCGTTTGGCCATATAATCGGTAATTACTTATTAACTTACACAACGGCTACCAGTTACTCTAGCATTCGCTTAAAATTGCATAAATCGATGGGCCTATTATGCCGTAATGTCCGGATAATATATCAATTGATTCCATTGCTTTTGGCTGATTTTACTAGTTGCAGAAACAATTTATTTGTAGGATTTGACGATAACATTTGAAGTCCCTGTTGTATTACTTTAAGCTAAAAAAAATTGCAACAAAAAATGTACAATATACACCATAGAAAATTCGTGACGTAGTCAATTTAAATACTGCTTTTTATATGCTTATTATGCTTAAGTATTGCTCATGAGTAAATATCATTGTGCATTATTGTCTTATTGTCTTGTTCTTGAGTTTTCACAGCTTAACTATGAACCTAATGTATTCACCTGTGTAGTTGTAGTTTCCAGACTACAATATCACAATGAACTGATTATTCTCCTGTCTACGATATATGTTTACTTGCGATGTGTTTAACAAAGTGAAACGCTTCTGTACATCTTTTGTAGTTCGTATGTTGAGAGAGGAATTGCAACTTTTGCAAGAACAAGGGTCATATGTTGGAGAGGTTGTGAAACCTATGGACAAGAAGAAAGTTCTGGTCAAGGTGAGGTTTATTATACCAGGCATCTTTATCAATGGTCTATATCATATATATATATGTATATAAACCCTCCGAATCAGCACCGTGCTTGCATGCAAGCACGGTGCTGATTCGGAGGGTTTTTGGCATGTTATCACATCTTTGTAGGCATATTTTGTTGAATGATACTATCATACTAGCGACAACTGCTCCAATACTCCGCATGCAACTTGGCAGGCATTGTAATGTTTTGGTCTCGCGAGCAAGAAATATTATTAATCACTTATTTCATTAGTTTGCAATGTGGCTATGGTCTAGTAAGCTGCATTCGCGTGTAGACACACTACGATTGTGTGCATACGGTCTGTGTGCATGCGCACACTACGTGTTTAGGGCATTGATCCGCTCAAATCCCTGCCGAGTCGCAGATAGAGGATTGGAGCAGTTGTCGCTAGTATCGCTTCACAAAATATGCCTACAGAGATGTGACAACATGCCTCTCAGTCAACATCATGTTTGAATACAATATACAGCAATCTGGCAGTAAATGGCTATAAATCAATTTCAGTACAAAATAGGCGAATAATAAAGCTATGAAATCAGCTCAAGAACATTTGTTTTTATTTATGCAAAAATTTGAAGTGGATAATAGGCAATAATGCCGGCAAATATGTGTTGAACATCCTTTTTAGGTTATTTACTCCTGATACATAAATATATATATATCAGGGTTCTCCAAGAGCACTTATAGCCTGGCGGCCCGCCAGGCTATCGTCGAGCCCCGCCATCCTAATATGCACCGCCACTCTAAATATCATAGCCGCCACTCTAAATATCATAGCTCCCAGACCCCCCTAGCACGCAAACCGCCTTCGGCGATTTGCAAATAGGACGTAGGACCGTAAAGGCAGCACCCGCCATGCTATAATGAAAAAGCTTGGAGAACCCTGTATATGTATACATATATATACAGGGCTACCGCTGGCATTCGCTACTTTTGCAAAATGCGATATATAAATAACACTGGCGATTTTACTACCCTAAGTGGCGAATACAATTGGCGATTGATTTAACTGCTCACAAAATTATGATTGAATGATGAAATCGTCAAATTGCAGTGTCGTGTAAGTACTAACAAATTGCATAACCTAGTCATTTGGTGCAACGATGCAACAGCCTAGTTTTATGTAGACACTACATTATTTAATTTTTACTTGATTTACTGTATTAAAAAGGTTTTCACACACCATTTCCCATACCCATCACATGTTTATGCATTGCTTAGCACATGCGATAAAGTTAACAGTGGCTATAGTTTTTCGTTGGTGGCTAAAAAATAACTTTGGTGGCTCAACTCTTGGCTCAAACGTTAAAACATCCAGAGGGAGCCCTGTATATATAGCTATTATATGCTTACAATGTATTATATGTAGCCTGTCAGATCAAAACATGCCGTAGGACTTCAGTGTTCATTCTGAGTTATAGGTGATTTTTCACCTAAAAGTACTAAAAAGCCGATTTTTTTTGGGGCCATAAATACCTTCAATAAAACTGGGCAAAAGTGTGTTTTTATGTGTTTATTTGCGTGTCCAGATAGTTAATGTTTTAATTACCCTAATTAATTACCTGAATTACTTACCTTAACTGTAAGCTACCATTTTCGTACTTAATACAGTGGATGATTATTATGTCTGGTACGTGCATGCAAAAATTCATGTGTCTAGCTCAATGGGAAGATATTTTTTCAGATTTTTGTCCAAATGAAGGCCAAATGAAAACAAACTTTAACTTTATGACCTAACTACTCTGAACTTTGTTTTCCAAAATCGGCCCGATTCCAACTACTCAAATGCTCATAACTTCCGAACCATGTGACCTAGGAAGAAGATCTTGGTGTCAAAATAACCAGAATTGGATGGTCTTTTTGATAAAACTACTAACTCATAATGTCCGAATTGAGTCCTACGGCATGTTTTGATCTGACAGGCTACATATAGTTATTGAGATGTATTAGTGTAAGTGTAAGAATTTATTTACCGTATTAGTGTAGCTCAGTATGCTGATGCATGTTGAAGTCTTTATTTTCAATTGTATTAACAGGTTCATCCAGAGGGCAAATTCGTCGTCGACATTGACAAGTCGATAGAGATGACTGACGTAACTCCGAACTGCAGGGTTGCACTTCGTAATGACAGTTACACACTACACAAGATCTTGCCTAACAAGGTGTGTGATAAACGGGCATCCTATGTGTGCTCAATGGCCATTCATGAATAAATTCAATTCACAAGACATCTTGCTTCACTGCGCCTGTGGTAGTATGAATATTGCCAGTGGTTATTACCACTTGATAATAAAATTATTATCGAGTCATTGACTCAGAACTACCGAAATAGTTAATGGGGCGAAAGGCAATAGACGGCTTGCTGGGCTGTTACTCAGCTTATTCGTGTCATCTTGGCTTTCGTTTCTTCCAGAGCCATCAACAACGTTCTCAACAATAATGTGTCTGCACTCTGTTCTGTTTACCTTGCCCGCTACTCCCATTCCGATCAATTGGCAGGCGCCAATTGCCTTGTCCCTAAAATAGGGACAGTGATTTTCCGCAATCGCGGAAAACGGACGGAAACGGCCATTGGAAATGGAAAAGATGTTTTCAAACGGAAAAATATGGAAAACGTAATTTGAACATATTACTACATGAAAATTTTCAATAAAATCACAAAAAAACTTTCAACAATAGCATTGGTAATGATATGGTTTACATTCAGACAAGTTTCAGAGCGAAATGACTTACAATTACGACTTGGTAGCCCTGTGTTTCGGTGCCAACCCAACTGTCAGTCAGTGGCCTTACCCTACAGGTTCTTTCAAAGGTTGTACCAAATACCTTTTTTTTCATGCAAATATATGTACATGGAATTTTGCATTTTTGGTGTGTACAATCTCTGTGGCAAAACGGAATTTCCATTTTTGCTTTACTTTGAAACGCAATTCATGATTTTCCCAAACGGAAAAGGCAATTTTTTGAAACGGAAAATCACTGTCCCTACTAAAAGAAAGCGAAAGATCTCGTCCACGTAACCCATCATCTCATTTCGCAGGTGGACCCGCTCGTGAGTCTGATGATGGTGGAGAAAGTACCTGACTCGACCTACGAGATGGTGGGCGGCCTCGACAAGCAGATCAAGGAGATAAAGGAGGTCATAGAGCTGCCAGTAAAGCATCCCGAGCTTTTCGAAGCTCTGGGCATTGCACAGCCCAAGGTCGGTCGATGTGTCTCTATCTGCTGCTGACAAACAGTGGGTGGGGGGGGGGTTCCCTTCAGCAGCTACGCTTATGTCCCTCTCTGTTATTTCTTTGTTTAAATCACGTTAGTTCGTGACCCGCTAAGAAGTGCTTGCCTGTCGATTAGACAACTGTCCTGTGTCTCTCTGACGTGCGCTCACTCTAGGATAACCTATTTCAGTGGATAGGCAATCAATGCTGTGATTCATTGTGCGGCACTGTGCACACTGTTGCCACTATGGGTAGGGTATAATATCACGGGATGGGTATATATATCTACGTTGCTGAATGTGTTGGTGTATTCCGTGGTGGATATGGGTAGCTGAGTGTATCTGCTCAGAAGCAGGCTGTGTTAGTGCACACTGTTGTCATTGCAGGTTGCTAGAACTTTTGTGTGTCTGTCTGCCATAGTGGACGGCATGGTTGTGGATCTTTTGAGTATTCACGCTTTATAATGGATTTCTCCGATGTTGCAGGGTGTGCTGCTGTACGGACCTCCAGGGACAGGCAAGACACTGCTGGCCCGTGCCGTGGCACACCACACAGAGTGCACATTCATACGTGTGTCGGGCTCAGAGCTTGTGCAAAAGTTCATTGGAGAGGGATCGCGCATGGTGCGGGAGCTCTTCGTCATGGCAAGGTATCGTCATGGCACCCTAACCCTACCTACACTGTCTACTGGTAATGCTGCTGCTGCTGCTGCTACAGCTACAGCTGCTGCTACTGCTGCTACAGCTGCTACTGCTACTACAGCTACAGCTACTACAGCTCCAGCTACTACAACTACAGCTGCTACAGCTACAGCTGCTACTACTGCTGCTACTGCTGCTACTGCTACTGTTTCACTGTGAACTGGAAAAAAACAGATAAAACATTGACTAAAAACACATAAATGGTACAAACGCATAGAGAGCCACGGACTATTGCGGACTAAATTATCGTCTTTTGCAAAATACATGAACTTCCATGGCATGAAATTAAGATTTTTTTTTTGCACTGGCACAGAGGGCTGGTAACAGCAGTTTTTTTTACCAGCCCTCACCACAATATACCAGCCTTTATATAGGTGTACCAGAATATAATGAGGAAACTGCATTTGATCTCTGGTAGAAAGATACTGCTAGGGGTGAAAGGTTTTCCAAGCATTACAAAAAGCTGCGAATGGCCCAGTACCACCATGAGGATCATGATCCCGTATCAGTTGATGAAGAATTAGATTCAGAATCTCATTCTGATAACGATATTGAATAATCTCAAGAAATCGAGTAGAACCTTCTGAATTATGTCCAGAATAAAGGAAGATTAATCAAGATTAAAATCAGTCGTAAATCAAAATTCTATCTGCAACTACTATTCCTTGGGATTCTTTAAATGAGAAATGTAAATTTAATTTGAAAGAATTTAATTTAAGGCTTATAAGCATTTTTTATTTATTACCATTCCAATTCTTATTTTAGGTCCCTTCTGGTTCAAACAGCAAACAAAATTTGTGAGGGCTGGTAAATTTTGGTGAGGGATGGTAAAAATCTGCTGTTACCAGTTTTCTGGGCTGGTGCAAAAAATCTGAATTTTGTGCCCTGTATATATGTATATATATATATATATACTAGCTG